GCTTTGTGGGTTGCTGGTGTGGTGAGCTGCTTGAGGTCAAGTGTGTGAAGGAGAGCAAGGAAGTCAGCTGCATGTGGCTTGTCTAGATGAATGTTGAAATCACCAAGGACCAGAAGAGGAGTTCCATCATCTGGGATGGTGGACAGTAGTGTGTCGAATTCATCGATGTACTTCCCCAGTTGACCTGGAGGACGGTAAACAACGAGAAAGTGAATTTTTGCAGGGACAGTGACCATAACAGCATGAAATTCAAAAGAAGTGTATGAGCAAGAGGGAGAAAGACAGGTAAATTTCCATGTTTTGGAGAGAAGCAAACCTGTACCACCCCCCCGTCTGTTGGGGCGTGAGGTATGGGAGAAGTTGAAGTTGGAGGCCAGGGCAGCTGGTGTGGCAGTGTTCTCAGCATGGATCCAAGTCTCAGTCAGAGCCAGCACACTGAGGTTAGAGTGGGTTGCAAATGCAGAAATGAAATCTGCCTTGTTGACAGCAGATTGGCAGTTCCAAAGTCCGATTGAGAATGAGATGGAACCTGCAGAGGCCGCATTCAGACAGCGTAGGTTGTCCAAGTTGCGTCCGTTTTTGGGAGAGTGCCACCGTCTGCGCCTGTGGCAGATGACAGGGATAAACTGATGACACATGTTAGTGTGTAGACAGGTAAACGAGAATAATAAGGGAGAAAAAGTATACTTAGCAGCACGTGTGGTATCTTGTCGGTGTCCTTGCTCGGTAGACTCGCGCAGGTAGACACGAGCTTGGTCTTTACACGAGCTTGGTCTTTACACGAGCTTGGTCTTTACACGAGCTTGGTCTTTACACGAGCTTGGTCTTTACACGAGCTTGGTCTTTACACGAGCTTGGTCTTTACACGAGCTTGGTCTTCACACGACAAGGGCTGACGCTTCCGCCTCAGCGTTTCTTACTTAATAAATACTGATGTGTTTCAGCTGAGCACGCCTCTTTAATTAGCAAAACAATGAGTGGTCGTGGTGACGAGCCACCCCGACCGAAACCGAAACTGAGTACGGAATTTGCTTTAATCTAGCAACAAGTATACAGCTTGCGTAGCAACAAGGAAGCACAGTTACAGCTTCTATCTGACAATCGGTGCTAAAACAAGTTCCCACTAAAAAATCCAGAAAGAATCACTTACCACTTACTGTTTGCCTGGGTCAATAATCGCTTCTGCTGTAGTTACAACTGGCAGACACACTAATATAGTCCTCAAGTGCTGAGCACGCCTCTTTAATTAGCAAAACAATGAGTGGTCGTGTGAACGAGCGACTCCCGACCGAAACCGAAACTGAGTACCGGAATTTGCTTTAATCTAGCAACAAGTATACAGCTCGTAGCAACAAGGAAGCACAGTTACAGCTTCTATCTGACAATCGGTGCTAAAACAAGTTCCAACTAAAAAATCCAGAAAGAAACACTTACCACTTACTGTTCGCCTGGGTCAATAATTGAAACCCTTAGCCCTGGAGTTGCAAACCAGTAAGCTGCCGTGTCTCTCTCGACAGTATATTCCATATGCAAAAATCAATGCAAATTATATAATTTTGCCATTAGTTAGTCTTCTTATGTGTGCATTTACACACTCGGGAGTATGAGTAAAAAATGATTGTTTATACAAATTTATGGGATTTTCATTAACACAAAATTTCATTAAATAAATCCATTCATATCCAGCATGATAAATGGGGCCAATTGTATGTACACTTTAAATGGATATATGAACTGAAAATATTTTATTATTATTATTATTATTATTATCAAAACTTCACTTCCCCTTGTATTGTTTATTTGAGAGAAATGCACCAGCTGTTATGATGGCAACTCAGGAATAGCCCCAGCTCTACGTTAGCCTTTCGGAGCTGACCTGTCTTGCTCGTCATTGCCCCCAAGTTCTCCATAAATGTGCACAACACTCTAGAAGTGAATTGTGGCCTCTGGTCTGTGACAGTGTCCCAGGTATTAGTATCAGAAAAAAATGCTCAAACAATACTTACTAAACTGAAAGGAAGTAGGTAGAGATTTAAGTGGTAATAGTCTGCAAGCCATAGATAGTCACTGCATGGTCATAATGAAACAATACCAAAATCAACACAGTCAAGCCCCAGAAACTAAACCCCAGAAACCTACCTTACCAAGCAAAGAATACAGTAGAACACACTGAATATCAAATTGGATACACCTCCATTATACTTTATCAGTGTAAGCCCTGTCAACAGTACATATCTTAGGAGGAGCATGAAAACCACTCTTGACTACATGCCAAAGAAAATAATTCACAATTTATAATTAGAGTCAATACAATAATAATATAGTCACCAAGTCTCTCCTACAAATTCATTCATCAAGTTTTCTATTCTTTGATATGTGCTGCTCAGGTGTGAACTTGAAAAGGAGAAAAATAAGACTCATGATTTTTTTTTTTGTATATATGGTAAAATGATGTTCAGTCCCTTTTAATCAATGAAAGCACTCTTTTTTATTTCCAGCTTGACAGCCAATTGGTCCTAGTGGTCATGCCATAATTCTTGTCTGGATGATTTTTAGAAAGACAAATGCTATAGGATGCATATTGACTCAGGAGTTTTGATCTTGAGATAGAATAGCCCTAACCCGCTCTTCTGAGGCATCTATGTTGGCTCTAATGGGCAGGTTTGGGTCAGGGGTTTTAGTATAGGGGTGGTAGAGAACACTTGGCCAAGGGTAGCAAACAGCCTGAGATTTGCAAACTAGTTACATGAGGGATGCAGCTTTGGAACTAAATGAAATGCCTGCATAAATTGGTTAACCCCAGAAAGTATTGTATGTCCTTTACATTCTGATGTGTTGACTACTCCGTGACAGAATAAACATTAGCATAATCCATGACAACTCCATCTCCACTGATGACCCATCCTAAAAATGACACTCTGGACATATGGAATTCACATTTTTCTCCTTTAATGAATAAGATATTGGCTTTGCAGGAGTTACTTGGCATATTGTAGTTTGTTCTGTAAAGAATCAGAATATTGTCATATCCCAGCAAACCGGTGACTACATTACCCATCCTGCACTGTGGCCTACAAACATGGCCACCATGGGTCTACATTTCCCATACACACGTTCACCTTCTCCGGAATTCTAATCACATACACCTGTTTGCAATCTCACACACACTCACACCACGGTATATAAGAAAATGTTCAAATACTTTGAGTAGTATTGAGTTTAACTCTTTACCAAGCGGTTCTTCTTTGTTCTCGTTTCATTTCATTTCATGTTTATTGACCTTGTTTCCCTAACTCTGATTCAAGCCTCGCCCCACTTATGTCTGTTTGCTGATCGCATGACCCATTGCCTGTTTTGATCATTCTTCTGTCTAATGATTTGGATTTGTCTGCCTGTCTCTCTCTATTAAACAGCTTTTACTGCACTTGTGTCCATCCTCGACTCCATAACGTTGAAAAAATTCAACAAGGCAATCATAGTTTCAGTTTCATTTACATTTGACAATTGAATGAATAGTGCTTTTTTATTATTGTAAGCTGTAAAGCCTTGGGAAACAAACTATAGTGAGTATTGTAACAGAAAAAACTTGACCTTTGGCTAAATCCCTTTTGTATTTGTCAAGGTGTGCTATGAGGGGTCTGGTGAAAGGAGCCAACAATAATATGAGTGGACTTAGTACCACTAATTGTTGGAGTTGCCACCCTCAATAACATTACACAATAGAATTTGGAGCAAGACACTGCAATGAGTGAGTGCAAGATTGCAAACAGGTGTTCATGATCAGAAAACTGGTGATTGGGAATGCATATACTGTAGGTGTGCAGTGTGTCTTGTAATTGGTTGAGAGCTGACATGGAGTCTGGCAGAGAATATTGTATATTATTGTAGTTAAGTTAATCATTAGTAGTTTTAAGAGTACTGTATGTGCAGATTGCTTACATGGGAGTTCTTAGTTAAACACAGTCTTCAATCTCTATAAATGTTCTATGTATGGTGCACACAGCCCAATGGAACTTCAAGTCAGTTGAGCTTAGTTCACATTGTTCACTGCCGTGTTTTGATATTTGTGAAATGTCTTGGCTTAGCTTATCTTTTGATGGCAAGGAGTAGTGAGGCCTCCACTGACTTAAGGTATTTTGCAAAGAGAACTTACATTTTCCCAGGTTTGTGTCCAAGAGGCATGGCAGCAGTTCAATAGGTGTTTTTTTTCTGAGGAGCAAAAGCTAATTACAACTAGGCTCCTTGCTGTTTTTGACTACTATGTGATGGGGGAGAGTAAAACTTGATTCATCTTTTTATATACGACAGACAACTTGACACAGATAAATGAGGGAAACAGATGCTAAGAGGATTGCTTGACTTGCAAGGTATAAGAGTACCAATCTAAAAAGACAAGAGTGGTTTTCTTTTGTTGTTTTGTACTCCTAGAGGAGTTCTACTCTAAACAACAAACTGGAGGAAATAGGGTGAAAACAAGCTCTTGATAATTATATCAAATTCTTTCTAAAAATAAACAAACAAAACAAAAACATCATGCCTGTAGAGTGAGGGGTGAGGTATGGATGTTATATGTGTGAGTTGTTGGAATTGAATACCAAAACCAACTTTGGCATGCTTGGCATCTCTCAGTGCCAGGCAGAATTTTGACGGACAACTTGCATGTAATTGCAAGGTTGCACCTGAAACTGGGGTGGAATTTTGGGTAGAAGACAAAATTGAACTTTTGTTAAAATCTGATGTGACTAGTCCTGAGACAAGGCTCACTGCTAAACTTGTATAACTGCACATTGCCAAGACTATCTAGTAACTGATACTCAAATTTTGAGAGACCTTAGGGGAGAAGGATCTAGAGGTTATATGTAAAAAATAGATGCTCTAGAATACTGTTTCTCAACCGGGGTCCATGGCATAGTTACATGGGTTCCATAGGATTGTTTCTAACATATTAACATATGTTAGAAATATAACTAACATATTTTAGAAGCATAACATAACATATGGGCAATGGTAGCTCAGTGGTTAAAATGTTGGACTACTGATCGGAAGGTCATAAGTTCAAAATCCCAGCACTGCCAGGCTGCCACCACTGGACCCTTGAGCAAGGCCCTTAACCATCAACTTACCATTAAATGTAAGTCACTCTGGCTAAGGGTGTCTGCGAAATGCCATAAAAACACACACACACACACACACACACATATATATATATATATATATATATATATATATGCATAAGTGCTATTTTGTTTAGATATTTCAAAATGTACTTTAAATACATTGTAGGCACATTCAATTTCAGAAAAGTTGCAGACTTTTTAACCTGATTAGTCATGTACATTCGCAAATCTCTCAATAATGTAGCAGAGCTTGCTCATTCTGGACAGTTTGCATTGTATCCAACATTGTGTGAAACAAAAAAATTATAATTCGAGGTTATAATCAAGTCAAGTGTAATGTTAGCAATAAAATGTTTGAACATTTTACTGTTTACTCTCAGCTGCATAAACTTCTAGTTTAACATTGATGGGTAAAATTAAATATGTACCGTAATTTCCGGACTATAAGCCGCTACTTTTTTCACACGCTTTGAACACTGCGGCTTAAACAATGATGCAGCTAATTTATAGATTTTTACGGGCTGAGTTTCATGCCGCCAAAACATTTAGCCTCGTCACATCGGACAAATGAAATTACCCAACAGGTCACAGTGGACCAATGAAACTGTTCGAATTAAATCTAACGGGCTCACACTACATTCTCCAGATCAGTCATTTTGCGTTTCATGAACACCCCCTCATCAGGGAAAACACACGAATATATGCATATTGGTTGACGTCATGTCTCCGCCCCGTCTTGTCATGTGTTGTCGAGTCACATGTGTTTTGGTATTGCTCGCAGCTGTTAGCAGTTTGGCTGGTGTGTATATATACTGGGAGCCATGACACACACAATGTGGGTAAATAGATATAGAGTTAGAATTAGATAGTGAATATAGTTAGAGTCTTTGTTCATGCCATGTGTCTTAGTTCTTGTTCATGTTTCCTAGCCATAGCCATAGCCATGTCTGAGTTCATGTCAAGTCTAGTTAGCTTATAGCATAACTTATAGCTTAGCCTGTAGCCTAGTAGCTTATAGCTTAGCCTGTAGCCTAGTAGCTTATAGCCTAGTAGCTTGTAACATAGCTTATAGCCTAGTAGCGGATAGTATAGCTTAGAGTTGTATAGACTTAGTTTAGAATATAGATGTAGAAGTGGTTTATAGAGTATAGATATAGAGTCTTTGTTCCATGCCATGTCCATGTTCATAGTCATTGTCACATTTCATGTCATAGTTTATGTTTAGGTTAGTTGGCTTAGTTAGCTTAGTTCATTGAGTTGGTCATGTTTTGTGGTGTTCCTCTTGAGTCTGCTCTCCTCTGTTTCAGTAAAAGCTCTCGTCCTAACTGCACTTGCGTCTGTCCTGCTTCGTTTACGTCACGAATCGTGACAGTTACAACGTGGACTTATTGACAAGTGCGGCTTATTGACAAGTGCGGCCTATATATCTACAAAATAGTTTTTCTTTTTAAAATTAGTGGGTGCAGCTTATATTCAGGTGCGCTCAATCGTCCGAGAATTACGGTATATCAATGTTAATGTCAATGTACAAAAATGTCACTGTTAATATTAAAGCTATACAAATTGCAGGCAGAGAACCACTGCTTTAGAAGGATCAGGCTCCTTAATAAAGCCATACAAGTGACAGTATTTTCAAGACAGGCTCAGCAGAAAAGCTCACACCATATCTTCTTCGATTACCTATTGTAATTAAGTAAATTAGAACTACATCACTAGGTATAAAGGGGCATATCTGATTAACACAACTGGGAATTTTCTCTCAATATAAAACAAAACAAAAAAAAACCCTGATTTCCGAAAGCATTATTCATAGAAAATCACTTATGCAAAGAGGAATTAACTTCTCAGCATGATCAGCAGTTTCAAATACAGAAGCAGCATTCCCTGGTTGGAGAGGTGGAAAGGGAGCTGGGGGTAGCACTCTGAGAATAACTTCCTATCTGGTGGCAGAGCCAAGCTGTGAGCAGTAATTGAAAGCAAAGGATTACTGAGTCCCAGACCCTTTCCAAGCCTGCTCATTAAGTAAATACAAACAAACATTGTAAAGCATTAAAATGTGGCCCAAGTCACAATGAAGCAAAGCCTGAACCCCAGCAGGGTTAACTGGAAAAAAACTGGCAAAAACAAGCTCTGGGAAAGGTGTACATTTTTCCCTCCTGTCTTCACAAATGTATCAAGGAACTGAGGAATTGAAAATTCAAGAATTTAAAATTTAGCCCTCCAACCTGATATATATTTAAAAAATAAAGGAGAGTAGCATAAAATTGTTCCTGATAAGCAGATCCCTTATATCCCAGATATTTGCAATGTATGCCTAAAAGCCATGATGCTAGGTAGGAATATCTTATGTCTTATAATAATCTTTGTTGTGAAGTTGATTTGTTTATTCTAACAGACTATGACTAACTACACTGCCAATCAATACAAAGTTCTTTTGACTGATCCTGTGATGAAACATTTCTAACCTGATGGGTATGGTCTCTACCAGGATGGCTCCACCCTGTCCACAGAGCATGAGGGCTCCCTGAATGGTTTGATGAGGATGGAAATTATGTAAATCATATGCTATGGCCATCACAGTCACCAGAGCATAGCACAACTGAACACCTATTGGAGATTTTGGCCAGCATATTAAACAATGCAGTAATTTCTTTGGAGTAATGGTGGTGTGGTCATCCCTCCGGTACAGTTCCAGAGACAGAATGAATCTACACTGAAGCTTATTTCTGTGTTGTTGATAATCTTATTTTAAAATATCATATATAAAAGTGATGAAAGATTTGTCTCCTACTGGATCCTAGAGCACTCATTTTAAGCCATCTTAGCAAAACAAAAAACAAAAAACAAAAAAGGAAGAAAAAGAAAATCACCCAAGCACATAAAGAATGCCAGATGACAGTGTCCGGTTATGCTCCATTCTTTAACTGTGCAACTGTAAGTAGAAGATATATAAAAAATATATATATATATAAAAACTGCTGAGATAGAAACATCATAACGAATAGGCTTGCTCTTAGAGCTGTGCCCCAATAGCTCTGAGTTAATTACACACATTGTTGTTTGTCAACAATAAAGAAAAGCCTCCTCAATTACACAGGAGAGCCTGCGGTGGTTATGAATGTTTTATTTTCACTTGCAGAACCGTGGCCTATGGTTAGAGTCATGCTGCGTTCAAATTTTTTGCCAATCCAGTCCCATAGAATATATGTGTACATACAACTTATTTGAAGCACCCTATATACAATGAATATAACTATTTTGTCTTGTACTGTATATCAATTAATTACTTTCTTTTGATATTTACTTCTACACACCCAAATCTCCATTAGATTAGTTATGTAATAAATGAATATATGTAATTTTTAAAACATATTGGGCCAACCTTTTCAAAGTTGCACATAAAGTGTAGTGGAAGGAAAATACATATTTTTTTTCAAGTCCATGGTGCAACATTGAACAGTACACAAGATACATAAAGTGCAAATACACAACAGTATGAGACGAGTGCAAAACAATAAATGTACAGAGCAAACCAATAATTACATATTACAGTAAATACACTGGACAAGAGATACATTGAACATTGACTGTAAACTGTAAAGATAGACTCTAAACTGTAAGCTATTTTATAATGTAGCAGCACAAGTATAGCAGCAATACTGGCAGCAAAGTTCCATAGATATAGTGACTGATACAGCTATGTAAAATGTAGTGTGCAGTAGTACAGAGTCTTACTGGAACCATTAACACTATCCCTTCAGTGAAATATGGTGGTGGCAGCATCGTGCTCTGGGAATGCTTTTCATCCTCTGAACCTGGGCTTGTTGGCAAAATTGAAACCTGGGCTTGTTGGCAAAATTGAATTGAAGAAAAATACAGAGGGATATTATAAGAGAACCTTCTTCAGTGTGCTAAAAAATAATTAAAGCTTGGGAGAAACCCAAACCCAAGGCCAAAGTAATGCAGGAGTTGTTATACAAAAAAGTGAATGTTCTACAGTGGTCAAGTCTAAATCAAGATCTGAATTCCATTGAGAATCTGTGGCACTGTTTGAAAACTGCAGTCAACAAACAGCATCCAACCAACCTAAAGAACTGTCACTCACAAACTGTATACAGAACTGGTACCTGTAGGAACTTACCCCAACAGACTTAATGCTGTTTGCAGCAAAATGTGGTTCTACCAAATACTAGACTGGAGGAGACGAATTCTTATGCAAGGAACATTTTTCAGTTTTGTTCTTTCTTTCTTTTTCTTTCTTTCTTTCTTTCTTTCTTTCTTTCTTTCTTTCTTTCTTTCTTTCTTTCTTTCTTTCTTTCTTTCTATCTATCTATCTATCTGTCTGTTTATTTGTTTATTTTAAGATCTGTTTATAACTAATTCATTTTAACTTCTAAAATTTACTTTAAGAGCATATAAGTTTGCTACAGAAATACTGTCTGGATCAATCTGCGTAAGTGTCATTTGTAATAAAGATAAACCTGATGACTTATAAGGGCATTCAACTGTTTTTCAAAGCAATTAATTTCACTTAATAGTCCCAATGCATTCCATAGGATGTATGCATTTCTATGCCAGCAGTAAACAGTTAGCCACATTTTAACATGTAGACAACACTCTTACTCTTTGTATATATTATAAAGCAAACATCTCGCTGTAGGCTTTCTGAGTCAATTATTTTGCTATAAATAAATATACCTATATGCTACATATGATTGTCACGATTCCCTCACGCAGCAACGCGTGGTGCGCGGTTGCGCATGCGTGGACCTCTTCCGGGGTGACGTCATGCCTGCGCCCTGTCGCATCCGCCGTGCAACACGGAGGAGTGCGGGCTAATTAAGGAGAGGACTATATATACCATGAGCCGTGCTTCATACGGCGCGGTCCGTTAACGAAATGAACAGTTTGACAAACGCGTCGACAGAGAGGGCGATGCGGTTCCTGCCATATTTTTC